CTGTTGTCAGGGGGCGTGGCTTAAGCGATGTCATGATTTGACCATTCAGTCTTGCAGGGGACTGGATGTGGATCAATCACTGAAGGTTTGACGTCTCAGACAGTTTTTGTGTAGGAGCTATTAGCGTTTCGTTTTTCATGGCGAGATGTCAAACTTTGAGGTCTGGCCCCGCCCCTTCAACATGCTCTGAAATGCACCGTTTAAATGACTTTTCGTTCCCCATGCCTTTTGACCAAAATGGACAAGTTTGAAACAGATGAAGCGAAATCCCTAGGAGGAGTTTGTTCAAATGCAGAGGCTGTTAACCGCCAAAAAGTTGTGAAATTTGGGACGGCATTCCAAAATGTCCGCCTTCCTGTACAACAATGGTGCCAGAGGGTTTTCTGTGCATCTTGGGAAGTGGACAAGTGTACACAATTTCATGCTTCTACGACAAACTAAGGTTAATGTGGAGGGTATTTGAAAAATTTCTAGGTGGCGCTCTTGAGCCGTTTCTGTTGTGATTTTTGCGACGCCCTTAAAATACGTAATTTTTCAGCAGTCCTGATGTGTCCACCAAATTTGGTGAGTTTTGGGATATGTTAAGACCCCCAAAAGGCCAATTCATTTGATGGTAAAATTGCTCGGGCCTAATGAACTGAGCGATTACATTAGGCCCGAGCACGCTGCGTGCAGCGAAGCGCGCTGCACGCTCGGGCCTAATGAAGGACAAAAGAGGTTACCTGGAGGAGCAGGAGAGAGAGAGAGAAAACTTAGTAGAGCTCTCTTTGAAATCACTGAGCCCAGGTGGCTCCAATTACTCAAGGCCCAGCTCTGACTGCAGGAGGAACCATCCCTGCAGTCAGAGGAGGGGCCATGACATATCATATCAGAATCAGAATCAGAATGCCTTTATTGTCATTATACGCAGTACAATGAAATTAAGAGCCACTCCTTTTTCCAGTGCAAAAACACGCCTTAAGAAAACACACATTAAACACACACTAAAAATATAAAAAATGTAACGCAATATAGATATAATAATGAAAGTAAAAAATACAAGTATTTCACAAGTATATTGCACATTATGGGTATTAGTGAGGTAGTTGAGGTGACTGAGAGTATGAAATGTCAGTAGTATTGCACAGTAGAAGTCCAGGGGTTTGGGAGGTTAGATGATTAAATCAGTGCATGTGTGAGTTCAGGGTGGTGATGGCTTTCAGGAAAAACTGTTCTTGAATCTGTTTGTTCTTGTTCTGATGCACCTGTAGCGTTTCCCTGAAGGTAACAAGTCAAACAGTTCAAAACCCGGGTGTGAACAGTCCTTGATTATGTTTTCTGCTCTGTTGAGGCAGCATGATGTGTAAATGTCCATCAGGGAGGGGAGAGGGCAGCCAGTTATCTTTTGTGCTGTCTTGACTACTCTCTGAAGCCTCTCCCTGTCAGCCAGGGTGCAGCTGCCGGACCATACTGAGATACAGTATGTCAGCAGGCTCTCGATGGACGAGTGGTAGAAGGTCAGCAGCAGTTTTGTGTTCAAGTTGTGCTTCTTAAGGACTCTTAGGAAGTGTAGTCTCTGCTGAGCCTTCTTGATGACCGCTGTGGTGTTCTCTTTCCAGTTTAGGTCAGCAGAGATATGGACACCAAGAAATTGGAAAGTGTGAACCCTCTCCACGCACTCGCCGTTGATGTAAAGGGGGGCTAGGTTGGTGCTGTGCTTCCTGAAATCAATAATCACCTCCTTGGTTTTTTTGATATTCAGAGCCAGGTTTTTCTCTGAGCACCAGGTTGCTAGCTCCAGGACCTCCTGTCTGTAAAATGTCTCATCTCCCCTTGAGATTAGTCCGACCACTGGGATGTCATCAGCGAACTTGACGATAAGGTTGTTGTTGTGGGCCGGGATGCAGTCATGGGTGTAGAGACAGTACAGCAGGGGGCTCGGCACACAGCCCTGTGGGGAGCCAGTGCTCAGCGTACGAGTGGAGGAGAGGTGGGGACCAAGTCTTACAGATTGGGGCCGATTGGTTAGGAAGTCTTTTATCCAGGCACATGTGAGTGGGGGGAGGCCGAGATTGTCCAATGTGTTTATAAGAATGTCCGGAATGATTGTGTTAAAGGCCGAGCTGTAATCCACAAAGAGCATTCGAACGTAGCTGTGCTGTTGTTCCAGGTGGCTCAGCGCGGTGTGGAGAGCTACTGCAATAGCATCCTCTGTGGACCTGTTGGTGCGATATGCAAACTGATATATTGCGATTTATCTTAAAATATTGAGATTTTAATTTTTGTTCATATCACACAGCACACCTCAGTGCTGCATTTGATACAGGTGATCTTAATTTTCTACTAGAGAGACTTGAATATGACATTGGGATTACAGAAACAGCTCAAAATGGGTTTAAATCATCTGATAGATTCCAGTTTGTAAATGTAAATGATGAATCTTCTTCATACACCAAATTTAGTCATGCAGTTCTGCAGGGTTCAGTGCTTAGACGAATACTCTTTACCTTTTATTCGTTTCCATTAGGTAATGTTATTAAACAACATGGGATAAATTTTCATTGTTATGCTGATGATACACAGTTATATTTGTCCATGAAACTAGAGTTGCACTCGGGTCTAAATAATCTGAACTGACCTGGCCTCAGCCCATAGCCATAATTTCTGAACCCCACCCGATCTGACGAATTAACAGTAATTACAGGTCCGAACCCAGAAAAACCCACAACATTTTTAATTAAGCTTTGACTGCTTACACCACCGACTATTATTAACGGTTGGGATGCGTGCGGCTGAGGGGGCAGAAGATCAGAGCTGAAGAGCCGTCACAGCACAATAAACACTTCCCCTGCTTCTGCCTGCATCCTGCTCTGACATGTCAGATATTTTGTGATCTCCCCTGTTTGGGTCTTGGCTGCGTGCGTCCGCTGAGTGCAGCGGCTGAATGAACGTCCATTTGGGCTGATGGATCGCTGGCAGTAGTCCATCTGAAGCTTAACTGAACTTTTTACCTCTTTCAACCAGCACGTGGTCAAATGGCCACATGCGGCAGGTGCAGTATGGCAAGCCATGTTTGCATATACTGGATCATCAGCCGCACACATTTCTGACGCAATAAAAAGCCCGACACTGACCTGGCCCACACATTAAGTACATTATTATGGCCCGGTCCGAATCCGGGTCGTGCGGGGCCGGGCTCTGGGTTCAGGATGACAGCTCTACATGAAACCCGATGAATCTAATCAGCTACTTAGACTACATGTCAGGATGGCACCATCTGGTGGGTCTTCCTTATCTGCACTCCTTAGTGTGTCTCCTAATTATCCCTGATCAGTTTCACCCTTGCCTCGTGTCCAGCTGTTTGTAATTATGCCCTGTCTTGTCTGTGTATTTAAGTCTATCTATGAGTCTTGTTCAGTGTCGGTTCGTCGTTCGATATGGTCTTGTCTTGTCCTGGTTCCATCCTGTTTACACCCTGCTGTAAGTTTATGTTGCCACGTTAGCTTTTTGATTTATTATTAAAATAATTTATTTTTACATGCTGAGTCTCTGCCTGCACCATTGGGTTCTACCTGCGCCTGCAAATCCTGACGCTACATGCATGTCTTAAAGACATTCAAAAAAGCATTCAATACAAATTTTTATGTCTTAAAGACATAAAAAACCTGGATGACCCTAAATTTTCTCCTGTTGAACAGACAAGACTGAGGTTTTGGTTTTTGGACCTGAGCACCGTAGGAACTATTTCAGTCTTTCTCCCTCCTTAGATGCATTAATCTGTCCTCCAGCTCTAATGTTAAAAATCTTGGTGTTATTTTTGATCAGGACATGTCTTTTATCCCCCACATTAAAAAGTTATTAGAACCTCCTTCTTCCACCTGCGTAATATCACTAACATTAGAAACATCTGATCTAAAGATGATGCAGAAAAACTGGTCCATGCATTTGTCACGTCTAGACTGGACTATTGCAATGGTTTATTATCTGGGTGTCCAAATACTTCTTTAAAATGTCTTCAGTTGATCCAAAATGCTGCTGCCAGAGTCTTAACTGGAGTTACTGGGAGAGATCATCTCTCTCCAGTTTTAGCTTCTCTCCATTGGCTCCCTGTCAAATCCAGAATAGAATTCAAAATCTTACTTCTAACCTACAAAGCTATCAACAACCTAGCTCCATCTTATATTACAGATCTTATTGTTCCATATTTTCCTAACAGAGCACTTCGCTCTCAGACTGCAGGTTTACTTGTGGTTCCTAGAGTTTATAAAAACAGAATGGGAGGAAGATCTTTCAGTTCTCAGGCTCCTCTCTTGTGGAACCAACTTCCAGTTTCTGTCTGTGAGGCTGACACATTATCCAGTTTTAAAACTGGGATTAAGACTTTCCTTTTTGATAAATCCTATAGTTAGGGTCGGCTTGGGTTTCCTGAGCTGTCCCTTAGTTCTGCTGCTATAGACTTAGACTGCTGGAGGACAAACTGACCACACTTTTCACTCTGCTACTGTCTTTACTTACTCTGCTCAACATGTTTGTATTTGTAATTATTTTTTCTATCCTTAACATGTGTTTTTTTTTGTCTTTCAGGTACAACTGGACCTATATCTAGACCTGGACCTATATATGGACCTGGACCTGGACCTGTACCTGGACCTACCATTCTGTGTTTGTCTGTCTCTCCTTCCTGTCCTCTCAACCAGCCGGTCAAAGCAGATGGTCTCTTGTCCTGAGCTGGTTCTGCTGGAGGTTTCTTCCTGTTAAAGGGAGTTTTTCTTTCCACTGTCTCCACTGTGCTTGCTCAGGATGGGAGACTGCAACGAAGCCAAGCTTCAACTTGTCTGCTGGATTCCTTAGATAGAGAACTTTACTAATTGGCTTTTATGTGAATGTTCCTAAAGTCCCTGAGACAACTTTGTTGTGATTTGGCGCTATATGAATAAACTGAATTGAATTGAATTTTTGTATTTTCCTTGTAGAAAAAATTAAGGCATCAAGGAAGAGCAGGCAGAAAAGAGGAGATGTACCTGAAGAAGCTTGTGGCGGGGAAGGCCTGGATGATGTTGGGGTTCTGGGTGTAGTTGTAGGAAGAAGCGTTGAGATGTTTGGTGCTGCTGTAATGAAGCACGACTTGGAAAAGTCCGGTCCGGTTACTGCTGCCGGTCACACACTGAACACAGGAGCTCTGCACTCCTGACACACTGAGGAGACACGAAACATTTTGATCCTGACGAGACCAGAGTCTGTACTCGCTGACTGACGAAGGTCAGCCTGAACTAACAACAGTGTCAGCGTTAACACGCTTCCTGCTTTACTATTTTCTGCACATTTTTTTCTATCTACTTCTGCATACATTGTGCTAGCTATTTCAGCCAATCTTGTATCAAAACTTGGAGCTCATTCACGACAATCCTGCTATGACTTTTAGTTTTGGTGCAACTTTAACTTTTTGAAATATTTAGCCTTTTCTGACATTTTGTTCTCATAGAAAATGAATTGAGCTCATTTTACATCCTTCAAATCTTTACATCTATTTACAAACTTTTACTGCTCCTTTCATCTTTTGTTCTGCTTCAGCTTCTTTCAGCTTCCTTGTGCAATTTTAAACATTTTTCAGCTGCTTTCAGCTGCTTTCAGCTGTTTTCAGCTGTTTTTTGATCCTTTCAGTTTCTTTCTGCTAACTAAAAACATTTTTGTGCTTCATCTAACTTCTTTCTGCTAGCTTCAGCTAACAAGCTGAAGGAGGCAGGATCATAACAATGCTCCTTTCAGCTTATTCTGGCTAGTTTAAACTTTTTCTGCTATTTCAGCTACTTTAAAAAAAATATATATTTTCGTTCTTCTTTCAGCTGCTCCTTCTTCAGGGGTCACCACAGCGAACTAAGTCACACGAAGACTTGGCAATTGTTTTTACACCAGATGCCCTTCCTGATCAACCACAGACCACCGAGCTACCACGGCCTCTGTGTGGAGCAGAGAGCTGCTTCTAGAGCATCCAGGGGAGCAGATGGTGGGGGTTAAGGGCCTTGCTCAAGGGCCCAGGGTGGGATAAATGAGGGTGAGGGCAGGTGTGGGTGCTTCACCTTTCCCACCCATATTTTGATGTTGACGGTACCAGGAGTTGAACCAGCGATCTTCCGATCACAAGCCCACCTTCTCTAACCTCTGTGCCACCACTCCCCCTATTTCAGCTACTACTTAACTGTTTTAATGCTAATTTTAGCCATTTCAGCTAATCACACATTTTTTAACTCAGTTCAACTTTTTCCAGCCTAATTCAGGAAAACGTGCTCTCTCAACTTCTTTCTGCATTCTCAGCTACTTTTCAGCTATTTTCTACTAATTTCAGCCTTTTCTTGAGCTAATTTACTCATTTTCCTGCTAATTTCTGCTTATTTAAACATAATTCTGCAAATAAGTGTTCTTTCTGCATTTCAGCATGTTTTTCAGCAAGTTCTTCTGCAATATGCACTCACACTGCATTTTCACAGGAAAGGCAATTACTTTAGTTTATATTTGCTATTAATATGCTACGTTAAATTTTCAGTGTTTAGCTGTTGTTCTATTATGTTTAGCTTTTAGCTATGCATATGACCCTTTCCAAAAAATTAGAATATCGTGGAAAAGTTGTTTAACTTCCATAATTCCATTCAAAAAGTTAAACTTTAATAGATGATAGATTCAAGGCCCACAATCTAAACAATTTCAAGTATTTATTTGTTTATTTTTACATAATTGGGGCTTCCAGCTCATGAAACCCACGAAAACTGGATTTAAAAAAAATTAGAACACTGTGAAGAAATCAGGCCAAATGTTGCAGGACATGAATGTTTTAAACTGAGTGTGACACTAATCATCTACTAAACTCAAAGCACCTGCACAGGTTTCCCCAGGTGTCATTAAATTACTTCAGTTCAGTTCAATTGTGGGCAGCACGGTGCGCAACTGGTAGAGCTGCTGCCTCTCAGCGAGCAGGTCCTTGGTTCAAACCCCGGTCCAGGGGTCTTTCTGGGTGGAGTTTGCATGTTCTCTCCGTGCATGCGTGGGTTTTCTCCGGGTGCTCCGGTTTCCTCCCACAGACCAAAAACATGCATGTTAGGCTGATTGGTAACTCTAAATTGTCCCTAGGTGTGAGAGAGAGAGTGAATGGTTGTTTGTCTCATTTGTCTCTGTGTGTCCCTGTGATGGACTGGAGACCTGTCCAGGGTGTACCCCGCCCCTCACACAGTGATTGCTGGACATGGGCACCGGCGACCCCCGTGACCCAAAATGGAAGAAGCGGGTAAAGATAAAGGATGGATGGTTCAATTGTCTCAGTTCAGTTCAATATGGGGAAGACTGCAGACAGAACATCTGTCCAGAAGACCATCATTGATGCCCTCCATAGGATGGGTAAGACACAAAAGTTCATAGCTAAGGAGGCTGGCTGTTCACAGAGCGCTGTGTCCAAGCATCTCAATGGAAAGTCTAGTGGAAGGACAACATGTGTCAGGAGAAGATGCACCATCAAAAGAGATGACTGTGAGCTTCAGCAGATCATCAAACAGAGAAGATCCAGAATCTGTCAGAGATCCAGAAAGACTGGAATGGGGCGGAGTCACAGCTTCAAAAACCACCACACTTTGACACATCCGGGAGATGGGCTACAACTGTCGGGTTCCTCGGTCCTCTTTTCTCATGAATGTAAAGTGTGACTTTCATTCAGAAATCAAGGTCCAAGGGTTTGGAGGAAGAAGGGTGAGGAACAGAACCCATACTGGTTGAGGTCCAGTGTGAAATATCCACAGTCAGTCATGATCTGGGGTACAGTGTCCGGTGCAGGTGTTGATAAACTCTGCTTTGTTAAATCCAAGGTCACAGCAACAGTCTACCTGAATGTTTTAGAGGACTTCATGATTCTTTCTGCTGAGGATCTGTATGGAGATGCAGATTTCATCTTCCAGCAGGACCTGGCCCCTGCCCATGCTGCCAGAAGCACCAGAACCCGGTTTGATGCCCATGCCATCACAGTGCTTGACTGGCCAGCCAACTGGCCGGACCTAAACCCCATTGAGAATCTATGGGGTCTTCTCAAGAGGAACATGAGGAGCACCAGAGCAACAACAAAGAAGATCTGACAGCATCAAGGAAATCTGGGCTTCCATAACTCCCAGTCAGTGCCACAGGCTGATGGTCTCAGTGTCACATCGAGGCAGAGATTAAGACAAAGGGATTCACAACCAAGTATTGAAGACACATATCGTTTTGAAAGAACCATATTTTGATTGATTTGTTGTGATCCTGATTTATTTCTTTTTTTCTGCAAAAACTGAGAAGTGTGTGAGCTGATTTCTCCTCAGTATTCTATTTTTTTAAATCCTGTTTTCATGGGTTTCATGGGCTGGGAACCCAAATTATGTAAAAATAAACAAATAAATATTTGAAATCATTTAAACTGTGGGCCCTGAATCTATAATTTATTAAACATTAACTTTTGAATGGAATTATGGAAGTTAAACAAGTTTTCCATGATATTCTAATTTTTTGGAAAGGGTCTGTATACTGTAAACTTTGTGCTACTGTTCAGCAACTTTTAGCCTGTGGCAAGCCTTTAGCTACCTTTAGCCAGTGTTTTGCATCTTTTGTCTTTAAAATCTCAAATATAGATTCTTCAGCAGGTCACACTGCATTTAGTCATGAAGTGAAGGATGAACTAAGACGTCAGCTCCAAATTGCTGCAGGTTGGACAGTTTGAGTGTGAGGTTCTTACATCGTACAGGGGACACCTCCCACACTGACCCTGAGGTCAGAGGGCCGGCCCGTAAGCAGGTTTTGACCCGTGATGTTTAGGGTTGTTCCTCCTGCCTTTGGACCCCTGACAGGTGACACTGCCGTTACAACTGGATCCTGAGAGGAAGAGGAGGATGAAGGAGGAGCAGAAAAGCAGAGCTGAGCTCACAGAAGATCCACGTTCACTGCCAGGCTGCTGGCTTCAAATGAACACATCAGTTTGATTCTACAGTAGATCAAGATGAAATGGGCCTCACAGAACATTGGGCCCAGTCTGAACTATGAGCATTCTTTCTAAGACTCAAATTTTCAGATTTCCAATTTCTGAGCCATCTTCTTAGATTATTTCATTTATTTAACCAGATTTAAACCTCCACTGAGATCAAGATCTTACATACAAAAGGGACCTGGGCGATCGTCATTATTTGACATCTATTAGCAAAATAATCTCATGGACCAGTGGGTGGATTTTTATTAAACTTTTGTTGTCAACAAATTCAAGATGGCATTAGCCAACACTAAAATAGCTGTAACAGTCAGTTTTACAGATACTGAACTAAAGCCTGATGTGGTAGTAGATGACAGTCATCCCTAACATAGTCTTTGAGCGGTAACAGATACGGTTTCCACAGTATACTCCAGCTTGTGCAGCAAATCAGTTGAATCTGATGTACCTGGTAGCAGAATTTCTGTGTGGACCAGCCCAACTCTCCTCTGCTCACTGTCACTGACACCAAGTCCTGCTTCCTTTCACCACTGGGCTCAGTTCTGCACACAATCCTGGAGAACAGCCAGAACTTTTGTCATGCATGCTTTTATTTAACATCTGCATAAAGTGACAACACAACTGAGTGTTTATACAGTAGACTGCATGAAGCAGCAGCACTTCATGTGTTCAGTACCTGGAGGAGACTTCATACAATTCTGGGACCACAGAACAGGGAACCCCAGCTACCATCACAGACTGGAGGATGTCTTCAACCTTCTGACCCAGGTTAGAGCCTGAGATCGTCACCAAGGTGCCTCCTTCTAAAAGGCCAGAAAGAGGCTCAATCTGAAGAAAACATGAGAATGCACCAGTAACTAAAACAATATCCTGAAATCAAATGGAATTGTAAATGGACTGTACTTATATACGCTTTTCTATCTTATCCAGATACTCGAAGCGCTTTACACTGCAATCTGTGTAATATACCCATTCATACAGCTCTCTACTAGATCTCTACAAAGACTAATCAGAGCTTTATCACATTCATACACTGATAGGACACACATCGGAGGCAATGAGGGGTTCAGTGTCTTGCCCAGGGACACTTCAGCATGTGACTGCTGGTGGAATTGAACCGCCAACTCTTGCATTGGAGGGCGACTGCTCCACAGCCGCCCCAAATCAGTTACTTCCTACAACTTTCTACCATGTTTAAAAGTCTTTAAAATTAGGAGAAGACGTTATGTTTTGGAAGTGAGACACACGATTATTATTTTTACCTGTGCATGTGTAACTGCTATCAAAATATCTCACAAACTACAGAATTGATTTAAATGAAAAGTATTAATTTGATTAAAATCAACAGCAGATTACCTTTTGGAGTCAGTTTGAGTCAAGACGGCTGTCACACCTAATCAATCATAGCCAACACAAATATAGCTAATCAGAGCATAAAGGAGCTAATCACAGAGTGTGTGATGGGCGGAGCTAATCAGTGTGTGAAGGGCGGAGCTAATCAGTGTGTGAAGGGCAGAACTAATCACATTGTGTGATTGCGTGGAGCTAATCAGTGGGTGATGGGGCGGAGCTAATTACAATGTGCGATGGGGTGGAGCTAATCAAAGTGTGTGATGGGCAGAGCTAATCAAAGTGTGTGATGGGCGGAGCTAGTCAGTGTGTGAAAGGCGGAACTAATCACATTGTGTGATTGCGTGGAGCTAATCAGTGGGTGATGGGGCGGAGCTAATCAAAGTGTGTGATGGGCAGAGCTAATCAAAGTGTGATGGGGCGGAGCTAATTACAATGTGTGATGGGCGGAGCTAATTACAATGTGTGATGGGGTGGAGCTAATTACAATGTGTGATGGGGCGGAGCTAATTACAATGTGTGATGGGGTGGAGCTAATCAAAGTGTGTGATGGGCAGAGCTAATCAAAGTGTGATGGGGCAGAGCTAATCACAGCGTGTGATGGGCGGAGCTAATCAGTGTGTGAAGGGCGGAACTAATCACATTGTGTGATTGCGTGGAGCTAACCAGTGGGTGATGGGGCGGAGCTAATCACAATGTGTGATGGGGTGGAGCTAATCAAAGTGTGTGATGGGGCAGAGCTAGTCAGTGTGTGAAAGGCGGAACTAATCACATTGTGTGATTGCGTGGAGCTAATCACAATGTGTGATGGGGTGGAGCTAATCAAAGTGTGTGATGGGGCAGAGCTAATCACAGTGTGTGATTGCGTGGAGCTAATCAGTGGGTGATGAGGCGGAGCTAAT